GGGTGTTTAACAGAGATTCTTTAGGTCACTGGGTCTCGGCTTCATTGTTAACGTTGGTCAAGCTTCTGTCCTTTTAGATTTTAGTCGAGTTGCGGGGGACCGTGCTCTGAACATTGCTTGTGTGGTAGCTGAGATAGATTCCTTGATTGTTGTCCAATTCATCCAAGAAGGCCGTGATTCCGAAAATCTATTAATTACACTTTTTCTGGACATAAAGAAGTCGATGGCTGAGTTTGATGTTGGAATTCTGCAGCATACATTACGTGAAGGCAACACTGCAGCTTACTTTTTGGCTGCTCTTGGACATTCCTCTTCACCAGGCCCTAGCGTTCTTAGCTCTCCACCTAATGGTCTTCGTTCAATCCTTATAGGGAACTCACTAGGGGGCTAGCTTCCTCCATTATTAGTCTGTTATTTAATTTTCCCTAATGTACGAAGAAAAAGAAAAAGGTTAAATCCCCATTTTGGTCCTTGAACTATTGTACGGACCCCCGATTGAGTCCCTGAACTAAAGAAATCCCTGATTTAATCCTTAAACTATTGTACGGACCCTGATTTGGTCCCCACTGTTTATAATTTGGCCTAACTTGGTTCTTGAACTATTGTACGGACCCCCAATTTGGTCTTTACTGTTTACAATTTTGCCCCAATTTGGTCCCTGAACTATTATTTAACAAAAGGACCAAGTTGGGGTTAAATTGGTAAACAGTATGGACCAAATTGAGCATCCGTACAATAGTTTAGAGACTAACTTGGGAGTCCGGACAATAGTTTAGGGATCAACTCAGGGTTCCGTATAATAATTCAAGGACCAAATTAGGGATTTCTTTAGTTCAGAAACCAAATCGGGGTCCGTACAATAGTTCAGGGACCAAAATAGGGATTTAACCAAAGAAAAACAACTTACAATCGTTTGAGAAAACCGCCAGAAAATATTGATCAAACTCAAAATGGCCAAATATTCTTTTAATTGCGGTAAAAAGTACTTGATAGGGCTTAATCTACTTTGCACATGGCTGTAGGAGAGGGACGACTAAATGGAAGGGTTCTCCACTACCACTTATGTTTTGGTTTCGGTGGTAGATGTAGGCGGAGTAGTAGCTCAAATTGTTTTCAAGCTTGCTCGAGTAATTTGTGTGGTTTTTCTGGAGCATTTTTCTGATAGGAATCTCTGTAGAAACCAGACAAATAACTTGAGCATGTTCAAATAAAAGATCTTTTTAACTTATGTGTTTAATGCATATGTTAAAAATCATATAAATATATATTTTTATCATAAATTTACATTAATAAAATTAAAATTAACTTCTAATATACCAACTGTCTTATTAAATTCATTCACTTGATACTAACACTAAAATTAATATCAATTTTTATATTTTTCGATATGTATTTATGATAAAAGAATACCTTTAAAAAATCCTAAAATAAATAGTCCGGGTAGGTTCCAATAAGATTCGAGGCAGTCTCCTGTTCGGAATATCCAAGTTATTTTCCCATCAAGCAAAAAAAAAAAAGAACGGGCTTAATGATATGCCAAAGTTTGTCCACAAGATGTCTCTTTTCTACATTGTTTAAGATTACACACAGCCGATAAACAGTCAATTTATATTCAAGCAGCACAACAATCAGAACAGACAGGAGTATATGTACAGGAATACAGCTTGATAAAAAGACAATGCAGCAGGAGTAGCACATCAAAACATAGGAAATAAATAATGCAGAAGGAAAAACCTTGGATAGGGAGTAGAGATCGTTGGGAAAATTTTAGACATGAGTAGTTCTGTCCTGAATGCAGGCAACTCCAACTTAAGTCATGGGTCCGAGTCTTGTCTGCTTGCTAGGCATAACTCGTGCAATTCATTAAGTATCCACTCTTCCCCAGTATGTCCGCCCAATACCAGGACCCGAGTTCCTCCTACCACACAGGTGCTATGACCCCAAGCAAATTTTGGTGGTTGCCCAGGAACATTGAGAATCCTCCATGTTGGTTTTTCCTCGGAAGGATCCAAAAGGAACAACTGAGAAGGAGAATGCAACCCAGCAATGGAACCGCCAAAGATAATTATCCTTCCACAGGGCATGCTGACAGCAACATGATCAAGTCTAGGAGGAGGTACCAACGCACTTTGGCTGCCAATACTAGTGAATGCACTGCACTCCAGTTGCCGCCATTGTGGGTTTCCATCCTCCAAATCAATGGTATAGGCTTCACCTGACCGCAATTGAAGGTTACCGCTCTTGGCAAGGCCCCCAAACATAAGAATTTTAGTACGACCATAAACTGACAGTGAATGTCCCAATCTAGACGGAGGAGCCCATGAAGTTGGAATCTCTCTCCATGTTGGCTTGTCTGTTGTAAGATCCAATAAATATGTGTCACTGAGAAGCACCCCAGCATCTGTGCATCCACCTGAGACAACCAACTTAGAACCTTCAATAGTGCAAGAGCTATGCCAAGATCTTGGAAGGGGTGGAGTTCCACCGGTAACTTCTTTCCATGTTGGTTGTTTAGCATCCAAGTCAAGTACAAAGGCATCATTGAGCAGTCCTTGTCTTCCACAGCCTCCAAATACTACCAACCAGGAACCATTTAGGCAGGAGAGAGTGTGACCCCAGCGCCCTGGAGGGGAAGATTCTACACTAACACGCTGCCACTCTGGATTTGCAGAATCAAGATTCAGAACAAATGTGTCATCCATTGGCTGCATGTTGACTCCTTCACCTCCAAAGAGGACGAGTCGGTTCCCTGCTGCACAAGCACTAAAATTGCAACGTGATGGTTCTATTGCTCCGCCGACAGTCAGTTTCCTCCAACAAACTGCCTCTAGAGTGGTCAGCTCCCTTGCAAGACGGCCCCATCCTAACTTCTTGGTCATCATTTCCAATGTACCAGTTACTTCTGTACCCCATGCATTTTGACATACCATCTTTCTCACATGCTCATTCTTTGTTAGTTGGCGAATCCTTCTACAGACAGATCCAATGGATGCAACATCTCTTGGTGTCAAACGTGATAAAATGTTGTGAGCCAGGACTTCATCAGAGAGTTGAAGTATCCCACATATTTCTTGATCATGACTGAATGGTAGTTGTCCACTCAAATGAGGGTATTTAGTTGACTGATCATACTGCTGATTACAAGTCTCTTTGAAAACAGGATAGGATACACTGTTCAGATCTATTTTTGCTTCAGAAAAAACTTGAATACCAATTATGTGTGTCACAGTTCCATCATCATCATGAATAGGTGAAAGTCGGAGCCTGTTCACCAATGGAGTGCCATCCTTCCTAAAGTTAAGAAGTTCACCTTGGAATTCAATACCTTCTTCAAGACATCTTTTGATCTCAGAAACAACAAAGGGATCCACCAGAGGGTGCCTTCTTTGAGCATGTGGGTCCCTATACTGCAAGAACCGACTGAAACATAAAAAGAGCACAAAAAAGAGTCAATCAAGAATTCAAGATGCTTTCCAAACAGAGGACACATTTATATACATTGATTAAGCAAGTATGTACTTGTGAATGGAAAACGTTCAGTTATTGTATATTCTTTTTTTCTTTTTTTTTGGGATAACATGGGTCTCCAGGCCTTTGGCCTAACTATTTCCATAAATACTTGCAAACTGCACCCTCCACAAGTATTATGGCTCCACCTTCAACGGTGGCGGGCGTGACCCATTGGAATTGTTTGCACCTAAATGGTGTTGGAGGGATTCAAACCCGCATTTTCAGCATGATTCAATTGACTACTTAACCATGTAAGCCAACCCTAATGGGTTATTTGTACATTCATTTACATAGAAAGAAAAATCCACAGTCCTCAAAGTTATTGTCCACTCTTCAGCAAACTTTTCACCAAGGAGTAAATCACAAGTTGCATGCTTTTATGCTATCTTATGAAAGTGTAAGGCATTCAATGCTATAAGTCTATAACGGCAATCCTATTCAGAAAGCTTATTTAATGACACATTACAAGATCATTTTCTTTTTTTATTTTTTTTGGGCAAATTCCAAGATCCTTTTCAAACAGAGACAATTTTCACACTTGCATTATAAATGCATGTTAGTGTGAATGACAAATGTTCAGACACTTATTGTCTATTCCTTGTGTAAATAAAATCCACAATGCTCAAAATTGTGTATCCACTTTTCAGCAAATTTTACATTGCAGAAAAGATCAAGAGCTGCATGCTTTTATGCTACCTTTAGGAAAAGCGAAGTAATCTTATTCAGAAAGATGATTACATGACACATTCTCAAGCCAAATTTTCTTAAAACATAAATGTTTATGTTGTAGTAAATTCTAAAAAAAAAAAAAAGAGGAAAAAATCCCAGCCCTTGCCACTATAACATGGCATAATAATTAACAAATCATTGTTCATATGAGACTTTTTGTGGACTGATATCGAGACATGTTTGGATATTTCATTACGAACTACAATGTATGTATTGCTAAGTTATACCCAACATCAATTAGTAGGCACTATATGCAAAGCAAAATTAAAAAGGATGGCTTTTTAAACCCAGTAACTATTGAACCACATTCCACATGCAAATTTTTCTTTACTGCTTCAATCAGTTATTTGTCTATTAGCTCTATTGACTCTTCTCCGGCATATAACCAATTGTCCAAACATGTACATACATTGATCAGATGCAAATATAAGTCTCATCGTATGCTAAAAGTATCAATATGAAAACCTAATTACTTGTTATGTTCATATCATGCAAGTATAAGTCTCATATTACCATGGGTTCCCAATTAAGCCTGTTAATCTTTGTCTTCTAATGTTCCCAATTTAGAAGTTATATCTTGTTAGAGGAACATATGAGTTTGAGATTCAGTCACCAAATATACAGCATATGCATTACCTTCCACCCTCCTAAATATAATGAAGGAGAGAATAAGGTGAGTACACTACTACATAGGCACTATCATACGCAGTAATTTTTTTAAGCACATTATAAATAGGGGAGTCAGCGAACTGTATTCATTTATGTATATATATAGAAATTACATATTCATGCTACGCCCTAGAAAATATTCAAGTTGAATGGACTTCAGTAGTTAAGAATCTATTTAGACTTAGAGCATCATAGTTAAACTGTTAAATGTGTAAAATGATCAATTTTATATAAAATGCATTGGAAAGTGGAAACTACAAGAATATGTTGGAGCTGCAATCAGCATTTATTTAAGCCAACCCTTTTACCCAACAAAACCAACATCCATAGCAGTAAATGATGCTCCCAACCCCAGATTTTCATTACTAATATGAAAACTGTCTTCAGATGTTAGTTGACAAAAATAGCATAATAGGCGTTTTAATTTGTTCAGCATGTTGATTACAAAATTAGCTTTGATGATTTGATCCAACAAGTTGATATGTATCATACTTTTTCGTACTAATGATTTTCATAAAATCTCATAAACTCATTTCTAAAAGACTTATTTATTGTGCTTTCTAAGCATGTTCCATACTGTATTTTCTGTTTTTCATTTCCAAACTGAATGTAGAGAACTTTGCAACCACATACTGCTAGGCACTTTTAATGTATTAACAGAATAAATTCAAAATTTCTACCAACATTAAACCCTCATACAGCCAACAAACAGATCAACAGATCCAGCTTCTAAACATCAGAAAGACTAATTTGAAATCTCACTCCTCTTACCTACGACACCGAAACCCTATGAACCATTGTCTGAAAAGTATTGACTTCCTATCTTCTAGAATCTATGAGAACCTAAAACACAATATCTCAATTGCAATTAATAAATATTTTTTTGTTAAAAGTGCATCCAAATTCTGTTTTGCAGCATTTTTATATCAGTTTCATAACAGCCAAACAGAAACAAAAGAAGATAAGTATGGAAGAGCAACCCAGAATCCTGACTCACCAGTTCCTACCGAGGACCTCGTCCGCGCGATATCCCGTAAAGATCTCGAAGACCTTGTTGACGTAAATTATTGGGAAATCGGGCTCAAGAGCATCGGATACAACGAAAGAACAAGGAGTAGTTGGGTAGTACATGAGTCCGGGCTTCAACGGAAGCTCGCTCTCTTCGCCTTCATCACCTTCCTCCTCTTCTTCATCATCTCTGGAGCATTTCTGCCTTTTCCCTGAGCTCTGATATTCTTCATCGCCATTCGGCATGGCCATGGTGGTGATGTTTTTTCTCCCTCTGTACAGAAGGAAAAGCATAGCATAAACATAGCTTGTCTTCAGCCGTAGGGTG